GATCGAACCCCTGCTGCCTTTGGACCTACGACAGGCCTACCAACTGCCTACGAATACACAGGTCACAGGTTCAATTCTCGGGGTCTATACAGATACTGTACATGGGTAGGGTGAGGTCTAGGGATCGAACCCTGGGTACTGCATCCGCCACTGCAAAAGGTGAAACCCGTTTCAATAGCATGTCAGATGATGTGTTGTTGTTTTTTTTTCTTATTTTTCTTTTTTTTTCAAAGAAGAGGAAGAAGATAGCACGTCAAACTGTAGCATCAAAAATCTGATCCATCTGCCCAGCCAAGTGGGACCAAAGGGAGATTCAGGTCATCACAAGGGGGCATTTGCCATATAGCGTACTCAAATTTTGTGGTGCGATACGCAAAACGGCGTTCTGTCAAGCGTTGCCCCTTCGTCTCTTTTGGAAAAATCTCCGACCCGTTTTACGACAGTCGTCGACATTCCACAGCTGACATACTCTCAATGAGAATGAATCTCCCGCTATAACATTGTTACGATTCTGGTTGTCTGTTGTCTGAAGACCAACACTCACTCACATAGACTTCCAGGTATGCCCATACATACACAGAAGGAAGGGGCGAGGATAGGAGTATCACACCGCACAGGGAGAGATAAACACAGCGGAAGACTTGACCATGCGATATGACAGGGTACACTGAAAGTGCAATTCACTCCACTCAATCCTCACAACCAGTCATGAAGAAAAGCCGAGCAGATCACATCGAGGAAAACAATGAAACGAAGATAGTCCAAACCAGTATCACACTGTTTATTACACTCAGAGTCTCGAATTGTCAGAATAACTCCAGAACTATGGTGTGCTGCTCAGAAATGAGCAGCGCTTCACTCCCCAACGCTGATGAACCGCTATCACTACCCCTGAGTCCCTGAAACATCAAGCGCCATCCAGATACAGCCTCCAAAGGGAAGCGCCGCCATGAAACAGGCCTCTGAGGCCAAGCACCACTCAGAGGATGAAGAAGAAGACCAGCGCCACAGTATCTGACGATGACGAAGTGTCGGAAGACTTCCCGGATGGAAGTCTGCAGGCGCACCACAACCCTGGAACCCCACTCCGGAGGAGGGTCCAGCAGGGCACCAACTTCTCTCGCCTCCAGCAGACCTCAATAACCCAGACCTCTGACAGCCACGCGTGCTGGCAGAGTACAGCGCAGATCCCAGCTATGGCCGGTGCTCCGAAGGTCTGGCTATGTCTGTCTCCCACAACGCTGAGCCTTTACCACTTCCGGTTCACGCGTAGCGCAGCAGCGATGTACTCGGTACCAACTGCCAAAAGCCCTGAACCGATGTGCCCATCCTATCTATAGACTAAACTAGCCTAGACTCAACCTAGACCGGACTGACTGACCGACCGGTACCGTTTCCGTCTCGGCCTCTCGGCCTCTAACTTACCCGGCTATAGGATATAGGACCGTCTAACAGTATAGGCCTTTAGGGCCTGTCTGTCCTAGGGGTAGCCTGGGCCTGCTATTCGCAGTTAGGGTAGCAGTAGGAAATTCAGTTAGTGTTGGGCCTGTATTTCCCAAGTTTGAAGATATGTCCCTCACAAATTTTCCTTACAGGCAGGTCACTCGGTTAGCCCTCAGCCAAACAAAATTACGAATCTAACCTAAGACGCGACCCGCGACCGAGGCAAGCCCCAAGCTTCGCCCTCGGCCCAATGTACAGTCCACTGAGAATCTGCAGGCCTCATTACAACATGGCAAGATTCAGTTCATGTGAGGAACCAAGCCTTTGTCAGAGCACTCTCTCTCTCTCTCTCTCTCTCTCTCTCTCTCTCTCTCTCTCTCTCTCTCCATTCAACAGATGTTTTATTCGAGGATCTGAACAAATCAGGGGGTCCAGTCCACTGCCCGGACAGTCCGGTTCCGGATAAATCACGATGTTCGGTTGTTGTCCAGTTATCTGGAAGTCCATTTTTTTTGTCCGCATTGCTCCGGTGTCCCGTTACTTTACGACAGTAAGTAGGAAAACAAACAAACAAACAAACAAAAAGGATAAACACAAAGCAAGGGATTGGGACATAAATGCATGTATAAATAATTAAAGTAAATGTAATGACCCGCCATAACACAGACTGAGAACACTGCTGATTTCTGAAGTTCTGTCGATGGAATGGATGCCTTGCTGAGATGGCCGCATTCTGCTGTGCTTTCTAAGTCTGTATGTGTGCGTGCCTGTCTGAGTGCTTGTCGGCATGAGTGTGTGTGTGACCCGCAAGGGTACTTGCTTGTTTGGCAGGCCCGTAGGGCCAGTACTTACCTGTGGCCGTGGCATTGAGGGTTGCATCAGGGAAAACACTCGAGTAGTGGAGCCAGGGGGGCCCGTGGTGCTTAGTGCAGCAGAAAAACAATCAACTAGCAGGTAGGCCAGTACCGCACCCAGTAGCAGTAGATGTGCCGGGTACTCGAGGCCGAGCAGAAGAAGACAAAGTTGGCATTTTTAGAGGCCCA